TTAGGTATATTTTATGTATATGTGGGTTCTAAAATCGATTTTGAGAAACGATTGAAACTCGAGTGTATATTTAAAGTATATTTTATGTATATGTGGTGTCGCGGATTTGAATTACGTGAATCTCGAGTGTGTATTTTATGCATATTTTATGTATATTCTATGTATATTTTATGTATATGTGTGTTGTACAACTTTGGTATATACCCGCAACGTGTAAATTTTCATATCTGATGGTAACATGTAAATCATGTACAGAATTGTCATACCCGAAACATACATATTGTCATACCGAAACATATACTGAAAATATACTATATATACCCACAGCATATACCCGCAATATGTACAGAATAGAACTATCTATCAACAAATCAAGCACACCAAGTGTTCGACAATTACCCTCTAAGAAGATTTTCATCAAAACAGATAGAAAAAATTATATATTTAACATATATACTGTACATATACCCATCATATACTGTACATATAACACAATACAACACAACCGTAACCAGGTAAATTCGTCTAAAATTAATAGCAAACTACGTGGAGATATGGCTTGATTTCATGATCCCCAAGCCATTTTCGAAGCTCGAAATCGCAAGACCAATCGATTTTCAATCGTACAAGTAAACAAAAAATCCAAAAAACCGTAACCGGGTAAATTTGTTTGAGATAGCCTCCGAGCAGCCCATCGCGAACACTTTTCTCCCGTTGACGAGACCACCGGCGATGGCCCCGCATACGAACAGCACCGCGCCGGAGAGCCGTTCGAGATGCCACAAGTCTCAGCCGCACCAGGTCGAGGAAAGTCGCGATCCGCTGCAGCCCTAGCGTCGGCGATCGATCTCCAGCCGTCCTCGCCGTCGCAGCCGCGAAGAAACGACCGCACCTTGACGGGGAGGCAAAACGCCACCTCTCCGACACCACCCCAAATCGCCGCCCCCTGAGCCAACGGCGCCCATTCCCATCGCCGTCAATAGCCAATTTCGGCCAGGGGTAATTGAGTAGTTGAAAATGGAAGAAAATTAAAAGGAGAATTTTTAGAAGTAAATTTGCAGTGAAGAGGGTGAATTTGAAGAAGAAGAAGAAGAAGAAGAAATGGAGATCTGGGAAGGAGGAGAAGTAAAGGAAGAGGAAAGAAAAGTGACGGGAAATAAGAAGAAAAGAAAGAGGAGGAGGAAAAGAAAAAGGGAAAAGAAAAGAAAAATGTATTAATTATCTCAATTAATTCATAATTGATTCATTTTCCATATTTAAATCCTAAATTAATACACTTATAAAATCTGGTATATGTGCAAATTTGTTGGAATGATTTTGTATTTTGCAAATAAATATTAATTGGATGTAAATATGTAATATAAAATATATATGATTGTATGGAGTGTAAATTCCTCTAAATATTTGGTAAGTATACACTGAACTTGGGCCCGCGTCAATGGTCCAGTAGTCCTAAATCCTAAAGAAATACATCCCTAGTACTATAAATTGGGCAATCACGTGTTTGCTCTGTTGCTGACTCAACCTTGATCGACAGAGAGAGAGCGGCGATTCGTTCTTCTTCGTTAGTCCGAGACATGGGATCCCTCTTCAACAGCTTCAATCTATTTGCCAAATACAAAACCAAATCGAGATCCAAATCGAGATCCAAATCCTCCCGCTTAAACAGCTGCACTCTATCTGCCAAATCCAAAACCAAATTCAAATCCAAATCGAAATCCAAATATTCAGACGGTAGCAAAGCTCTCTCCAACGCCGCATCGAAATTGATGAAATCCGCTAACGCTCAACCCAAGTGCATGTTCCTGGTGAGTCACACACACAACTTAACCAGAGTAATCTTAAACGAAACCATCGATTACTCTGTAATCTCAAACGAAGGCAACTCTTTCAGAGTATTAGACGAGGATGATGATGATGATCTTCCTCGTAACTTATTGTCTCTACTCAGATTTGAAAACAACGGTATCCGTCCTAGCTGTGTCGTTCTTGGATGTTGCGGCTCATGGATTGGGTTGCTATTTCAGCCAATTCGTTCCAAGCCACAGTATCTTGTGTGGGACATGGAGACGGATTCGTGTAGATACCGTTTTCCATGCGTTTCCCCAAGAGAGGATGATGAGATGGAGATATGGGCTTCTGGCATGGGGTTTGATCCTTCATCCGGGCACTATAAGCTGCTCATAGTTTGGGCGGAACACTACAGACCAGACTATGCTGAGGTGTTTTCCATGGAAACTAGTTCGTGGAAGGCCGTTGACTACCCTTATGGCTTCCCCGTGAGATACAATGGGTGCTCCAACTCTATTAACATTAATGGCTTCTGCTATTGGATAGTTAGGGTTGGGTTTAAGGATGGTTCTGCTCCTATTATGTCTTTCGACTTTGCTAAAGATAGGTTTTGTTCTCTTATCCCTCTTCCCAAGAGGGAAAAGTTGAACATCTACGGCGAGTTGAGTGTTGCTCTAGTGGAGTTTAAGGGGTCGCTCGCGGCTATTTGTTGCGATTCGGAGGACAAACCTTTTATTTTCGAGATTTGGGGTTGGAATGCGCGAGGCAGTTTCTGGTCAATTGTCTCCACATTCGATATCCCTGCAGCTGCTGATCCTCTTTCGGTGCTAAACCTCTACAACAATGATAAATTGTTTATTGTGTACTTCGAAGGTGAATTGCTGCTTTATGATCATGCTACCAGACTGCACGAGAATCTCGGGCTCCCTATTGAAGGAGGGCCTTTGGTGTTTTACCCTTATGTCAAGAGCTGTGTTGGTCCTAGCTCCACCAATTAATCTGAAAATTTAGTTAGAGCTCAAGGGATGCCATATTTGTTGGTTTGGTGGCATCTTCTTTGTTTGAATGTCTTATTATGGCTAAAGAGTTGTTTTCTAGTTGTAATTATTTTGTTGGGCTTTATATTGGTCATCTAATG